CTTCCTTCTCTTACAGTTTTCCAAAATCATCTTGTCAATTAGGAGCTGATCTTTTGCCCCTTTGCTGTTTTGGGCAGTTTCCTTTCTGCTCAGATGGAAAGAGCTTGTTTTCAGCTAGTTGCTGTTGGACTTCGTCAGGCACCACACACCAGTTAGCAATTTGAAAGTTGTTGGCAAGCAGGTAATTGGCCCGTAGTTGCCTGGTGCTGCCCCTTTTGCTGTATCTTTCATTATCAGGAAAGTTTTGCCAGATGTTTACCGATCTTCAATTTCATTTCCTTATAGTATGTTGTTAAACTGCTTGGCAGTGAGTGGGTGCAGACCAGTCAGATGTTTCAACTAAAAACCATGCAGTTCATCTGTCCAGTATGGTTGAATCTCTGGCATGGCTCTCATCCTCCTCAGAATAGACAAGCTGCACAACCACGTCAAAGTAGTGCCTAACTGGGGACAAAGTAGTACCTTACTGGGGGAATTATCATCATCATCATCATCACCATCACCATCATCCATAATTATGTTGTTGTTATTAAATATTGTGTTTTAAACTTTTATTATTCTGTTATTGTAATTTTAGTATGTTGTAATCTGCCATGTGCCATGAAGATTCAGCAGCATAACATTTCTGGTATTGATTAAAATATATATGCATTGTTATATGTAATTCTCCTAGAGTACAAACACTTGTTTGCATGTTTGCCTAAAGGACATATTTTTAAATAATTTTTTTATTATTATTTAATACTGTTTTGTGCAGTTTTTCCACTTATAAAAAAATTAATGAACATATTTTTGTTTGGAGAATTGCATCAAAAATACTGAGAAATGTGATTATTGAAGATTAACTGCACCCTTCTTTCCTGAATTTATTATAATACCTGAAAATTCCATATTAATCTTCTACAAGAGACTTGGGGAGCTTGAGACCCTAGAGCTTGTTGGTTTTATATCCCCCTTACCTTGGGCAATACCAAATCTCGAAGAAGATTCTCATGCTATTTTTTTTTTTTTTAACTGTGCTTAACTTCTCTGTTCTGCCTGCTTGCCTCAGCTGGCTAGGGGCCTGAATGTGAAGTAGATGATGATAAATTGTTACTATTTATCTTCTTCCCAAGCTTACTAAAGATGCTTAGAATGAACTAAAGGAATACGTCATAGATTTTACCCTTTGGCATCCTATTGTGGTTGTTTTAATAGTATTCCCCTTTGACAAAATGAGCCTGCTCCATTCCAACTGGGCTGTTCCAAAGATGCAAGGGATTGGAGGTTGTTAAATTCAATTCCAGAGAGTGATCATCTCCAACACATTGTTAAATTAGTTATAAAAGCCTGTGTTTTTTGGCACATGTTGCAATGCCAAGCCAATGTTTACATGAAAAAGAATCCAAAAATTATATAATTTAAGGATGTATAGAGATCAGTCTTAACTTTTCCTTAATCCAAATGAAGCATTATTACTTTGGGATTTTATTTGTGCTGGGCTGAGTGCTTCAGCTTTGAACGTAGTTTCCGGCTCTTACTTCATAGCATCTAGGAGGTCTTCCTCACTAAATTCCAAATAAGAACATTACAGCCAGATATAGCTCTAAGCTTTAGTTTATGAATGCATTAAAACCAGAGCTGAATGAGTTGAAGGATTTAGGGCTAACGGAGTTGACAACACATAACCATCTACAGAGAGACTTGTCCAAGAGAGAAGTTATTTGCAATATGCATATATATATTTCTCTGGGTAGTGCAAATTTGGAAAGTTGTATCAAAATGTGGATGAGGTAAAATTCTTTTGTATTGAACTAGATTGTTCAGTATGTGGTATTCAACCTGCATACATTTATAAATAGAAGTGGCAGTTATATACTTTCCTCATATTTTATTATGCTTTGCACATCCAGTTTTAAGACAACATGAACAGTTATTTTTCTTCTTTGTCCATTTAGATTTAGGTCAAAGTCTCTAGGTACAATGTTAGACGAAAAATTTATATAGGCTGCAAGATAACATTTGGTGCTTAACAAATTGTTCACTCCTATGACAATGTAATTACCATATTGCAACTTATTATTAGGCTGCACATTTTAAAAATTGATTAGGTAATTTCCTTATTGCGGTCCTAACTCTTACTGCTTTTAACATACAGAAGTATCAATAATATAGTGGTTGTGTTCATTTAATTCTTTCACACTATCTCTTTTACTTTTGCTATAGGATACCAGATGGTTCTATTGAACAGGGCCCTGCTGTAGGAAGGGTACATGCTTTAGAAGAACAGCTAATAAAAGCCAAAGAACAGATGGAAAATTACAAACAACAAACAGGAGATGGTTTGTATAGGAATGCATTTTTTATATTCAGATGGATATTCAGTTTCACAATGTGTGTCCTGTTAGAGAATTAATAACGTTAATTACTCTTCACTTTTCTTTATTTTATTAGTGGGCTTTGGAAAAGACCATGAAATACTGAGAAGAAGGATTGAAAATGGAGTCAAGGAGCTTTGGTTTTTTCTCCAGAGTGAACTGAAGAAACTAAAAAATTTGGAAGGAAGTGAATTGCATAAGCATATTGATGAACTTCTATCTGACTTGGGTGATCATGAAAGGTACTAGTAGCTATTATTAAATATTTGCTGTAGTAAGTTAAATGAGTTGCAAACTTGTTTAAATAGAGTAACACTACAAACCAGTGTTTGCTGAAGTGTGGTCTTAGGACCCCTGGGGGTCCCCTAAGACCCTGTCAGGGGTGTACAAAATCAAAATATGCCAGCCTATGTTAAAAAAATGATACAATATTAAAATCCCATCTAACAATCGTGAGAAGCAATGGCAGCAGTGAATGCATCAATTTTAATTTTTAATATGGTAAATATCAACCAATAAATTATTTATTTACTTTATTATTATTATTATTATTATAAATAAATAAATAATAAATATTATTTATTTATTAAGAGAGACGGTTTGGTCTAGTGGTTAAGACATTAGGCTAGAAACCAGGAAACTGTGAGTTTTAGTCCTGCCTTATGGATGAAAGCCGGCTGGGTGACTGTGGGCCAGTCACGCTCTCTCAGCCCACAATGTCAGGCTTGGGCAACAAGCCAGTTGGTCAATTCCTGTCATAACCAATGGATCAACATTTGGTTGTTCCGAAAAAAAAGCGAGGCCTGCACCTGTGGGGAAAATGCAGGAAGAAAAAAAAATCAATAAATAGAGCCTATACAAACAAAAGCTCTTTTGGGGTCCTCCATAATTTTTAAAAGTGGGAAGCAATCCTAAGAGAAAAAAGTTTAAGGAATACTACTATAAACTATGGTTTTAGATATTACCATTATCTAAATTAATATTGTGTGAAATATCAGTTTCATCAATATATTTAACTATTAGCTGAAACATGAATGTGCCTCCTCTTCTCTGTGGTAGGAAATCTGCTATATTGTACACTTACGTTATTTTCTTGTAAATGTAGAAGGAATGGCTTGCATGTAGAAATTTGGGTAAACCTCTTCTGAACTGGATCTTATGACAATAATAATAGTTTTGCTTCATAACTATTTAATTAAACAAAAAGGAAAAATCTGGTAGAAGTACAAATATATTTTCAGTAATTATGTAACACCAAATTAATTTAGATTTTTACTTTGTCATACTTACCAGTTTTCAGTGGGAAAAGCATCAAGCAAAAATTTTACTGTGCCTTCATATTTTATGGGTAGAAACTACTTTTATTTTGGAGAATATTAAAAGCTCACTTGGAATGAGATAGCAACTTTAAAATATGAGCTACAAAAGAATTATTAGATCCCTCCTTACCAGTCCCTTGTTTTCCCATTACCAAAACACAAATTCTTTCTTAACTCTTTAAATATCAAAAATGTCTTTCTCAGGAGCTTTAGCCCACAAGATGAAGGTTGGAAGGAGATTATTCTTTTTTCACATATAAATCTCCCTGACACTCTGATAATAGGTGCTGCAAATGCCCAAAGAGTTAATGGAAATTCTGTATGTTCACCATTCAATTATATGGATTCTGTGCTTTAACACAGCTTAATTTTAGAACTTTCTGAGCTTGGACAACTTAACTATTGCTACTTCCAGATAAATTTAATACCCTGTGAAACAGTCTGTAGATCTCTCTCTGATTTTAAAACCTTCACACTATAATCAATTTTGCACTGTTTAGAGTCTCGTAGGTATTTTGTTTATATGTTACAAAACAATAAATTATACCCTTTCACCCTTTCAAGTAATTACCCTTTCAAGTAATTAGAAAATATGAAATAAAATATGAAACATCATAGTTTGATTCTTAAATTATTTTATAGGTGAAACTATTGCTACAATGTGAAGCATTGTGATACAACTTCTGTTTTCTATATTATAATGTAACATTTAGAGGAAGAGGATTATGTTGCTTATATTATATATATATATATAATATATATATTATATATATTAATTTTTTTTAA